GGGAAACTTTTGATTAGTGATCTAACTTTCTCATTTGTTATTAGCCTACTGAAAATTTCCATTTCTTTACAACTCAATCTTGGTGTATATTTCTAAATGTATCCATTTCTTCGAATTTATCCAAGTTGTTGGCATAGTGCATAATAATCTCCTATGATCCTTTGTGTTCCTATGAAACAGTTATAATGTCTCTTTTATCTATAATTTTATTTAATTCATATTTTTTTCCTATGGCTAGCTAAAGATTTGTCAGTTTTGTTTATCTTTTTCTTATCTTTCAGTTTCACTGATCTCTAAATAATTTTTATGGTCAATATTTTATTAATTTCATTAATTTTTCCACTGATTCCTGTTATTTCTTTCCTCCTATTAACTTTGCACTTAGTTTATTATTCTTCTTCTATTTCTTTTAGGTATAAAATTAGGTTGCTTAGTTGAGTTTTTTTCCTTAATGATGGCATTTATCACTAAATCTTCTCTTTTACAATTGCTTTTTGCTGCAGGATTTGATTGATAATGTATTTTGTCTGATTTAAGTATAAACACTCTTGCTCCTTTTTGGTTAATGTTTGCATACGAAATCATCTATTCCTTATCTTTCAGCCTATGTGTTGTAGTCAGGGTTTGCAAGGGAAATAGATTTAATAGAGGACATATAATTTATAGGATTATTTTATAGTTACCCAAAATGTCAAATGCAGAGGAGTGCAGGAGATCTAGCAGCACATCAGAGACCCAAGGAATCCAGCCAAGAGCCTTAGATTCCACAGCAATGCCCCACACAAGTACAACTGAAGGCCTAGAGTCCAAATCAGTGTCCTTCATTAGTCCAGCCAGTGGCCTAGAGCTCATGACAATGTCTCTTGCTTGTCCATATTGAGGATCTTCACTGCACAGGCCCAAAGGCCAGTGGTGGAAGCTAGAAAGCCTGCACCAGCAGGGTGAAGGATTTGTGCCACCAAGCTAAGGGATCTACACTGGAGCCAGGAAGTGACACTCACAGCAAAGATCCGAGCTCCCCTGAGGAGAACAGCAGCCATTCCCAGTGACAGTGAGGACCTGAGCTTTGCCTACAATGAGAGAACAGTCCAGTTCGTATCAAAAAACCACCTGTGGCAAGCTTCTCCAAGAAAATCAACTGTCAGAGATCTTCCCATCCAGGTTTCTTTTTATGTTGTTGGCAACAATCCTCAGGTGGGTCTTCCACACCCACATCATGCTGATTCAGTTCAGCTGGGTGTTCCAAGTTGACCATTAGTTAATCCACCACACTATGTGTGCCCTTAAAGCTAAAATTGAAGCATCTTATTGTTGGTGTTTTTTTTTAAATCATTTCACCAACTCTACATCTTTTGATTGGAGAATTTAATCTATCTACATTAAAGTGATAATAGATACAAAACAACTTTTGTCATTTGTTAATTGTTTTTTACTGTTTTCTACTTCTGTTGTTCACTTCTTCCTCTCTTGCCTTTCAGATTTGATGTCACTCTGCAGAAGAATGTTTTAATTACTTTGTCTTTAATCTTTTGCGTATCTATTACATGGCTTTCTGCGGTTACCATAAGGCTTACAAAAAATCTTAATAGTTGTAATAGCCCCTTTTAGACTTATAGAAACTTAACATTAACAACATACAAAACTACTCCTTACTTGTCCTTCCCTCCTACTTGTCCTTCCTTCAGATTTTATGCTATTTTTGTCACAGTTCATACCTTTCATATATAGTATATCTGCTAACAAATTACAGCTTTAGTTATTTTGATATTTTTAATATTTATATTAAAATTACATCTTATTTACAAGTCACCCTTAAAATATGAGAGTATTCTGAATCTGATATACTTACTTTTAAGGTGAGTTTTATACCTTCATACATTTCCATGTTGTTAACAAACTTTCATTTCACTTTTAGAACTCCCTTCAGCATTTCTTGTAGGGCAGCCTGATGGTAATGAATTTCCTCCACTTGTGTTTATCTGAGAAAATTTTTATCTCTGAAGGCCAGCTTTACTAGTATTCTTGATTGGAAGTATTTTTTCCTAACATTTTGAATATATCATTCCACTGGCCTGCAGTTTCTGCTGGAAAATCTGATGGTGTCTAAATAGAGGTTCCCTTGTATGTGATGGCTTACTTTCTCTTGCTACTTTCAAAATTATCTCATCTTTACTTCTGAGAATTTGACTATTATGTGCTTCCATAAAGATCTCTTCATGTTTAATTTACGTTCATGGATCTAGCTGTTCATTTCCCTCTCTTAATGTAGATATTTTTCTGTCATTTTTATTGAAATATTTCTCTTCTCCTTCTGAGTCTCATAATGTATAAATTTATTCACGTGATGATTTCCTATGAGTCATATAGGTTTTCTTCACTTTTTCATTCTTTATTCTTTTCTCCCCTCTGACTGGCAATTTCAGATGACCTGTCTCTGACCTTACTGATTCTTCTACTTGATCAAGTGCTCTATTGAAACTATTTTTTTCAGTACATTCATTCTAGTCTTAAGCGTCATAACATTTGTTTGGCTCTTCTTTATGGTTTCTATCTCTTTTTTAAACTTCTCCTTGTGCTCATATATTGTTTTTCTGATTTTACTTAGTTGTCTCTCTGTGTCCTCTTGTAGCTCCCTGAGTTTCCTTAAAGCTTTATTTTAAAGTGTGTCCGGGAATATAGATTTTTAAATTTATTTGTTTAATTGGTACATGTTTGTATTATATTTATATTCCTTGTGTGGAGCAGGTACTTTTTTAATGTTGGTTAACAACATTTTATTTTGTTCCTTTGTTGATATGATCTCTGCGGCCAAGCATTTGTTATCTGCACATTTGAAGAAGTAGTCATCTCTTCCAGTCCCTACAGACTGCCTTTGGCAGAGAAATGCTTTTACTAAATCATCCAGATTCCGTGGGGTTTGGTGGGTGGGGTCTGAAAGCAAGCTTGCCAGGCATGTGGGTCACTTCCTAAGTAGGTATGAATTCTCCATCCACAAGAGCCACCCTGGCACACTGGAGCCTACTGCTGAAGAAGTGGATCCAGTTGAAGTGGCTCAGCCTTCAGTCCCCTGGAACCGAAAGCCACAGGGACTGCCTGAGCCTGAGGCTGTGGGTTCCAGTATGGCCCTGCTGTGGACTGGGTATGTGGATCAACAAGGCTGAGCTTGGAGCCTGCAACTGGTACTTTAGTAAAGGAAATCTAGACCCTAGGTCTTTGAGGTTTTACCTGGGTTAGGAGTGGGCCTGGTACTTCAGTCCTGGTGCTTCAGGCAGTCAGGGTGATGCACTGGTGGGTCTGAAGCCTGCATCTTCAGAGGCCAACACATAGTCTAGGGCCGTGAAGGCTATACTGGCACCGGGTCAGGCTTGGTGCTGGAGTCTGCAAACAAGCTGGGTGCTCATTTCTCCCTCTTTCCCATATGGAGAGGGTTCTCTATACATTGAGCTGTGTAGATTTAGGGAGAGGCAACATGGGTAATGTGAGACTGTCCTTCCTACCCCCTTCAATGTATCTTTTCTTATTTCTTGCTCCAACCAGGTGCTGTAATTTCTTACCTGGTTTTCATGTAAAGGATTTTTGTGCATGCATAGTTGTTCAAATTCACGTTTCTTCAAAAAGATGAGTACTAGAAGCTGCTATTTTTTCATCTTGTTGATGTTACCCCATTGTTACCAATCACAGGTCCACGGTGCAGAAAGGCTTCCTTACAGGGTGTATCAGGACCCCACTGTGCCTCCAAAGCTCTGTCACTTCTGCCCTAATTGATGAAGTCTTCAATCTCAGATTGGTAGCAATGCAGGCACCTCAGTATCACACATCCTCTGGTAAACACTATTTCACAGAACTTTCACTCCAAGAGATATGATAAATTCATGCACGGCATTATTAAGTATATTTAAGAGGTGAAATTTTTGAAAGGAACCATAGTATATGATTACAGTTTTATATACTTGATTAGTAGTAGGTTTTCCATAGACTTGGTCCTAGCTCTGTACATTTCAAACCTTGTTTCAGGTCTACTACACATAAACTTCAAATGCTAGGCACCTTAAGCCATATCCATATCACATATACTGTTTTGGCTCTATACCAGCCAATCATAGCATTAATCAAGTTGGCAGACAGGGCAATAGGAGTATACCTGGAAGCTATAACAATTGTAGAATGAGAAAATAGTAATTCAAATATATGGGAAGTGATAGTGTAAAACACATAAATATATTCCACTAAATTAAAACAAAATACATTCTTCACTCAAATTTCTTTAACTACATCTTTTAAAATGTACGGAATCACTACAATAGAGGAGAAATGAAATGAAAGAAAAGTCAGAGGGGAAAATAATCAGTAGACTTAATTTATTGTAGTTAGCAAACTTGCCCAAACTTTGCATATACATAAGGCCATGGCAACACATTGCTAGGGTCTCTTTCAAATCCTTAGAAATTATTTCCACATTTAAGGGACCCTGAAGCTTAAGTTTCATTACCTTTGAAGAAGACTGACCTCTAATCTGCCTCCTCTTTCCAGTTTTGTTTCCTCTTTCATTCTTGGAAATAACAGCAAATTCTTCCTCCTATATTTGAGGACTTTGGAATTTTAATTTTCTAAGTAAGTACTTTTTGAATTCCTGATAATATCTATATTGTTTTTTCCTCCTCTTTGCTTCCACACCTCAGGACCTGAATTACATGGCTGGCATTGCAAGCCACCAGAAAAGATAATTGCTTGAGTGTGATAATGGTGACTGACAATTTCATCTTCAAACAATTTATCAGTTCACACTCCATATATCGAGAATCAAGAGAACATGACACCTCTTGTCAGTAAAACAAAAGAAACTTGTGACAGCATTTCAATTGGATTTTTCACCTGGCACTCACCACATTAACACTCAGTTAAAATAACTCCATTCATTATTCCAAAACAACAAAAAAAATTCTGATGCACTAGACAAGGTAAATGAAATTATATACATATATAAAAAAGGTAATACTGCACCTGATCCCAGGTTTTCACCCCCTTCAAAATGCTTGTCTTGATTTATTATAACTTTTTTTATTTGTTTCCAACAATAAGTCAATCACAGGTCATTCTTTTATACAAGTGAATCATTCTTCTCAGCAGAGAGTGACTATGATGCAGAACTGTAAGCAAAACATGTCAGTCTCAAAGTTCAATCTAAAGCATCTCTCAATACTCCTAAACCCAGGTAAATGTGTTAGTCCAAATCTCTGTGTAAATTCTCAAGTGCTATGGTTGCCATTTTCACATCAGATTTTGGATGGCTTGGGTAATTTCCCAAAATTTGCCTGAAAAGAAGACCATCCCTCCTGTTCAAGATACCGTCCTTTCTCAAGAGCCTTTAGAAGAGCATGATGATCAGGTATGAACCAAACTAGAGAATAAATGTGCTCCTTATGGATCTGTTGTGACTGGTAGTGACATTGAGGCAAATTTCTCAAATCCTCTGAGCCTCAGTTTCTACCTTATGATTTGCTGGTGATGATGCCGTGTTCTTCACAGAGTAGTTGAGTGGGGGGAAAATGAGCTGATATACATAACTTAGCACACTGACTGGCAATTTTCCCATTAATATTTTCCCATTATCATCAGTGTCATTTCGTTCTGCAAAAGAACATTAAAAAGTGATTTAATCAATATGGAAAAACAGTGAATCTGTCCTAAGATCAATACTATTTTCCTGTTCCAAATATTTCACTCCAAGGTAAAATATCTTTAGCCCTTTTCCCTTAGACATTACTTTAGTTCAAGGGGAGTTTATGCAAATGCTCTATCTCTTCAGTCCTTCGCAAATACCTTATTTCTAATGTAGCTTTACATATATGCTCTTCCAAAAGGACAAATGCAAAGGCAAAAACAGGAAGTTAGCCCATCAAGCTGCACTGAAAATGCTAAGTCAACTTCTTAAGAGTGGAAAATATTGAGAGGACTTTTCAATACCTATATTTGAAGACAGTTTTCCTTTAAAAAAAAGAAAGCGCACTGGCAAAGTACTAATGAATCTGAATAGTATCCTCCATAGGATATCCTAGATGACTGCATCATCACCAAACCTTACTGAATGCCTACACAGTACTGAGCATTGCTTTAGATCCTGGAAATACAATGACACAAAAGACAAGGCACCTCTCCTACATATTGTGCAGTTGAGGACACAAGGCTAAAAACATGAAATGACACCATAAAATCTGCAAAGTACAAAATCATCAAGATAGACAAGTGCAGATGAGAAGAGAAAGCAATTTCAAGGAAATCAGTAAATTTTACATACAGTATGTGTGCTTAAGGCTTGCCCTTCACTAAAACATGCGGTTGTGAATCCTTGAATTTAAACTGTCCATGGTGACCCTTCAAAGCTGACATCCTCTCCGAGGAATTCCATGTTCTTTTACCTCTACTATCTAACCAGAGCTTACTTCATCCCATTGCTGATTTGGATGGCCAGACTCTGACTTCTGAACTGTATCACAGAGGAGAGTTCAAAGAGCTAAAGGTCACATACTTGTATGATCACTTTCCCTTATAAAATGTCTCAACTGTAATAAAGAAAAGGCTGGCTAACTCTTGCCTTTATCACATCAGCTAAGCAGACTCTCCATCTCCAACTGTCCTTAGGTCTCACATTTGGGCAACAGTGAGTAGTTTTTACCACATGGGAATCCTTGGTTACAAATGTGGATTTGATATTGGAGTAGACATGGTCAAAACAAACTTTTTGGCCTTCTTAGCTACTAGACCATTTAAATCAGTTCAGTATATATAGTTCAGGCAGTGTTCTCTGAAGTCCTGGTTAGTTCCTTCTTGTTATGCTTTGGGCTTTGGAAATGAAGTCCCAGTAGCTGCGCAGGACAAACTCACTGTCTTTTCTTGGCCAGTGTATGCTTACTATATACTTGGTGGCAAGGCATGGTTTAGATTCTCGCGAGTTCTCTGATCAAACTTCACCTATGTATCAAATTAACATCATTTCTTAACGGCTCCCATTCCATTCCTTTGACTAGCTCTGCCCAGAAGGCATCGTAATTGATAATCAAGAATACTATATCTTATCATAAATATGTCCTCCCTTCAAATTTTCAATATGTGAGCAGAATTGAACTCCAAGTTCTCTGACAAGAGGACCACAGGAATCTAATAGACAGACATCCTTTTATCTTCTACGATTACATATTGCCAAATAGGATTTTCTTCATCTTCAATTTGTACCCCAAAAATAGCTAGAGTCTTCTGGAAGGTCATAATCACTTTAATAAGCAAGTTTAAAATGGAACAAAGTGGCCCTGTCTTTAGTTTATCAGGTTAAGTGCATTCAAGGTCAGAAAAAGTGGGGGAAAGGAGGCATATGGATGGCAGTGCCCAGTCCTGCTCCTCCTGACTGGCCCTGGGGTCTGTTTCTGAGTTTGATATTAGCTGTCTTCATGGGGATCTTCAGAATATGAGGAATTATCGCATCTTATGCTCAGTTTTTGGCATTAAACAAAAATCTGAGACAATGGAAAAGTCCCACTTAACAACCTATAAAATTTATATATTCCCTCCAAATTCTGTAAATGTCAACAAGAACAGTAACATATAAGATAAGCTCTGGAAATGCCAAAATAATCAAGGAAATACCATAAATCATTAAGCTTTTCTTCACCAGCTGGAAAATTATCAAACCTCTTTGCAACAAGCAGTTCAGATTATATTTTCAAAGTCCTCCTGATTATTAAAAATATGTATATAAAATATATTTAGAGGTGTGTATCACACTCCGAGAGTGTGCCAGATAGATATGCCTACATGGAAAAAATGATAATGTTCACACGTCGGTTACTGACTTTCCCTTTAAAAATCTCTGGGCTGGCTATATGCACTTGGCTCACAACCACGTTACCCAGCCTGCTGGAATCTCCTCTGTATCACAAGATGGCTAGGAGCCTACAAACTAAATCTATGCCATAGATTTCCTTGCCAGCTGCTTTCCAATGAGGTTCTGCCAATGGGAGACACAGTGGAGACACTGAAAGGCAGAAGGGAGGGAGTAAGCATTGTGTGGAATTTACTTGGCTCCTGGTGGTGCATCACTGAGAGAGACAGGACAAGTGCAAGCTATGGTGTCCTCCGGGGCAGGGCAATTGCACAGCAATGGCAGTCACAGTGCTCCACTGGCCTCACCAGCACATGCTCATGAGCTCCAGCTCCAACAGCAGCAACTGCAGCCCCTAGAGCAGGAGACCACACACTTCTGGCTTCCTGCAGCTCGGTAGGGGTATGGACTCCCCGCGGCCTGCAAATATAGCCCTAGCTGTAGCAGTAGAAGCCACAGAACCATAACCTCCTTGCAGCACAGCAGTCCTAGCCTCTGGGTCACACCATCCGCTTCGCTGCTCCTCCAGCCAGACAGGAAGTAGATGGGGCAATCTCACCTTTACCTGCTCGCCTCTTCAGTCTTCTGACAATGCCATAACCAAACCTTACATGATTTCTAGTCCTCCTGAACACATTAATACGCCTTTTCTAGCTTTAAGACTAATGAATCAGGAGAATACAATGAAGAGATACATCTTTGTTAACTTTTCATACAGGCATGTACTTGCCGAATGCTCCAAAATATTGTAATTTAAAAATAACTTACAGAGAGGCAGAATTAATAAACCTCTGAAGCAAAAAAAAAAAAAAAACATTGAAAAGTCACAGAATGCAGGTTAAATATGATGGATTAAATACATTCAATCTTGAAACAACACCAAAATACAGGTAAAGGAATAAAGAATATGTAAAAACACATGGATAGAGAAAATAGAAGAGGGAATGAGATGAGCAGATAGCAGACAAGAGATATCAAGAAAATTTTATAAAGGGAAAGGACACAGACTAATGGAAATCATCAACAGAGCTCAAAAAGTTGAAGTTGAAGATTCAAATAGTAAAGTGTCCAAAAGGCTCAGGAATATCCAGGAACCAGGTGCAGGATAGGCTAGGGCTGAAATTGGAAGACAGATGGAAAATCACATCAGCAAAGTCTACATTCACTCAGATACCTTACCACATCCCAGGCATTTCACTTCCCATTTCAACATTTGGCAAAGATGGACCAGCATCTCTGAGCTCAAGAGGAATGTCATAATTGACTTCAGGAATGAGACCCTATTCTGGAAGTAGCAACAAAATGAAGTTTTCATGCTAAACACCAATATCTTCACCCCATCAACCAACATTGCCTGCTCAGAATGAGGCCAGCTAGGTTGTGCCCTCCAAAAAGACATTTGGAAGATTCCCCAATAGAGAAACTAACCAACCTAGAAGAAAAGATCTGTAGAACTGATATTTTAGTGCCTTCAAAATGAATACCTTAGGCCAGGGACTTAGCTCAGTGGTTCCCCCACCTGCCTTGCAAGCGCAAGGACCCGAGTTTGATCCACAGTACAAAAAACAAAAAAAGAAAGAAAGAAAGAAGGAAAGAAAGAAAGAAAGAAAGAAAGAAAGAAAGAAAGAAAGAAAGAAGGAAAGAAAGAAAGAAAGAAAGAAAGAAAGAAAGAAAGAAAGAAAGAAAGAAAAGCTTTATAGTAAAGCCTACTGAACTACAAGCTCTGTCTATGCACTCAGAACTTCCAACTCAAATTTTCTACCTCAAATTACATAGATGCAAGTGGTTAAGGGTGACTAGAAATTGGAAAGAAGTCTCTACCTTAAAAACAGAAACCAAAATAATAAAATAGGAGAGAAAATATCAGAAAAAGATGAGGACATACAAAACTAAAAATTTTTAAATATAGTATAAATATTCACGGAGAGATAAGAGCTATCCATGAAATAAGACCAGGATGCTTTTAAAAACAAAAAAAGTGCATTTGCAGAAAAAGAAAAAGCTTTGAAAATTAAAACTATGATTGTAGGAATTCAATAGAATTGTCAATAAAACTGAGGCTCTTTTTCTAAAAATATGAAGCAAAATGATGGAAAATAGAAGAATAAAGATTTGTTTACATTAGTTAATTAGTAGTTATTTCTCAAGGTCCAACATTCAACTAGAAGCTTACTAGGAAGAAAAAAAATGACTTAAGAACTTAACAAAAATAAAATAAAAATTTTCAGAAATAAAAATATATTTTTCATATCAAAAGTTTGTGATTGGAGTCTTATATAATTAGAAAAGGACCTACATCAAAATTCATGCTGAAATACGAATAAAACATCAGGATTAGAAAAGACCAAAAAAGTGCAGAGATGAAAATCTAGTCATATACAAAAAAAAAAGTCGGATGATGGAATAGCATCAGACTTAACAGTTGTAACAAGAAATCAACAAAACAATGTTTTGAAAACGGTGGGGAAATTTTTCATCTAAAACTCTATCCTCAGCTACACTTTAACTGTAGAAGTGAAATGGAAACATTTTCAACATATAGGAGCTGCAAAAAAAAAATTATCCTGTATGGAGCCTTTGTCAGAAAGTGTTAGAATATACATTTCATCAAAATAACAACAAAAAGATCAAGTAAGAGGGAGGCATAAAATTCAAGGAAAAAGGAATTCAATGTAGGGGGGAAAGAAAAGAAAAAACAGGAAAATCCCAGCCATGACAATTTAGACCAGTGATGGCAAACCTTTTAGAGTTTTCA